GGATATTTACAATTGCACACATTTGACCATGGAAATGTATGGGTCTGTGTGTGTGCACTTGCAGAGATAAGATGAAACAGCCTCAATTGTCTGGCTTTTTTTTTTTTTACTCTGGAGGCCTTAAACCAATTTACACACCAACTCCTTCCACCTCCTCACATACAGCCCCATGATGTTTAAATTAAAGAGGAAGGGGTGGGGGGGGGGGGGGGGGGGGGAGCGGTGTAAAGGAGAGAAAGAAAAAAAAAAGTTTCCTGAACATAGTAGAAAATTATTTTCTCTGGACAGTTTTAAGAGTCGACATCCTGTGCTGGAGTTCTCTAATCATCACCAGCGCAATTTACAATCAGAACACACAGCAAGCCAGTTCAGACCAGCTCATCTGTTGACTTTGGCCCCAGCTGAGCTCCGCGTCCTGCTCAGTGTGTGTGTGTGTGTGTATGTGTGTGTGTATGTGTGTGCGTCTGTGTGGGCCTGTCTGTGTGCTGTTGCCATTTGAGACTTGGGTGACTCGGCACTGGGCCCTGACAAGGGTGGGGTGAACGTCTGTGGGGCTGAGGCGACCGCACACATGCACATGTTCCCCCTCTCTCTCCCATATACACATTTGCAAGTTGCACATTTTTGCACAAAGGCACGCACCATAAAACGTCCACTGAACAAACATGGAAATGCACTTGAGAGCATGTGCATAAGTAAGACTTGGGAATAAATGAGCAATTGATAAACACAGATATGCACACCACCAGGAGACTATTGCAACACACAGAACCCCAAACACACTTTTGACACATGTATCACAAAAATCACCCCCCCCCCCCCCCACACACACACACACACATACACTCCCACACACACACACACACTCACACATACACAAATGCAGGGAAAAAAAGCTCCCTTTCCATATCTGTACTCAGTGTGGCCCTGGTTCACAATGTACAGCCCTTGTGTACATCTGTGTGTATGTGTGTGTCACACTCAAGATGCTCTCCCACCCACAGTTCCCTTGGCTGGCCTCCACCTAGCCCAAGCCCAGTGCGGTGCTGCTGCCTTGCCGCAGGGCTGAACACAGCTCACTGTGTCTGCCCCCTCACAACCCCAGACTGTCCCGACCAATGTGCTTCTGATTAGGTGGCTTAATTACAGCTGTAAAAACAATGTTGATATAAGCCTCAAAATTGCAGTGTGTCAGATACTATTAGCCAACCTTGGACTCCAGCCATTGTCATCCAACTCCTCCAGCAACCCTCCCCACCTCTACCCCCATCCCTCCCTATCCTCTGGCTCCTCCCATACTTTTCCTCACCCCAGATTTTTCATCTCCCCTTCACATTTTCTTCACTCTTTCATGTCACAAGCTGCAACACAGGCAAACTCTGAGAGGCCAAATGGTCCGCAAATAAACAGCAGTGGCTTGCCCATTGACCTTGAAAGTCAGAGACATCTCCCTGAAATAACAACATGGGAGAAACACATGACAATACAAGCAAAAAAGAAAGAATGACCATCCACTTTAGCTGATCAGGTGTGAATTACACTTCATTTGTATAATTGCCTCATTGGCCTGGGGTGCTTGACCTTTTTTAGTGGTCTGTGGTTGTTCAAAATAAGGGCTCTGGCTCTGCAGCAGAGTAAGAGGATATTCTGTGAGCAAACATTGCAAGGCGGCAAAGGCTTCCAGAGAAGGGAGGTCAGAAAGTCTGGGACAGGACACAGGGCTGTGTGTTGGGCTCTTTGTGTTTCAGTGACAGTGACTAAGGAGTGGGAGTGTAAAGTATGCCAGAAGTCTGGTCCAGGGAAAACTCTGCAACACCGTTGAGTGGAGGCAAGGAAGAAAAGCAAAGTAAAAACCTCAAGTATGCAAATCCTGGGTGGTCCAATCTTTGGATTGGTCTAAGAGAAAGTCCCCTTTTTTTCGTCTGTCTCCATCCTTGAGGCAACTTAAGCATCGGTTCTCCTGAGAACCAGGTGTTATGGATGAACTGCGGACATTCATCAGGCTCACTTGCAGCTAATCAGCTGAGTTAAGACAACAGGCACTGGAGAGACCAACGGGAGTGGGTAGAATTTGACAAAAAGGCGGCAGAGTGAACTGAGGGACATGCCAAGGGCGCATTTCCAAACCCCACAGGCCTCCATGGTGGCCTGCCTTAGTCCTGTGGCCTGTTCAGCAGCTGGCACTTCAAGGTTTCCCAAATGTTTAATGCCAGGGCCCTAATTTCACATTGGTATAAAGAGTGAGACAGACTGAAAAGAAAGCAAGGAAGCTAACTACCCCGGCCTGTATTGATTCTTGCGGGCCGGGCAGGGTGTGTCTCTGCACTTCCCAGCCTTGAAAGGCCGTCTTGTCACTAAAGGTGGAGGCAATACAGTATGCCATCATTTGAATAATTGATGACTGATTCCTAAGTAATCAGTGTCCTCACAAGACAATGCATTCTCTCTCTCCCTAGTGGAGAGAAAGAGCTTGGCCTGTTTTTGTCCCGATGCCTTTAGAAGCGAAAGGTAAAAGCTTTAATGCACTGAAGCCACTGGAAGTGCTGTCTCTGAAGGACTCCCCCTGGAATCAGCTGGGATGGTGTGTCTCTCCTTACAAGGGGGTCTATCAGAGTGGCCTTCCAGTAAAGGGAGTGAGAGAAAAAGAGAGAGACAAAGTAGGAAAGGAAGACAGAGTCATTGAGTGAGTGAATGTGTCAGAGCAGGAAGGCATGTGCCTGCATTTAGATGTGTGAGTGCACGCTCATGAGTATGTGCTGTAAAATGTATACTAAGTATAAAGTTTGTTTAGGTGGTGCGCATAAAAGTATTTGTACTCATGAACAAGAATGTCTTCATACGTGTCCATGTGCGCGTGCACGTGTGTATGTGCTGGAATGTACAGCCCCTTCCTCTAAACAGGAAAGGAGTTCAGTTAATAGCATCACCACCCTTTCCCCTCGTACAGAACGGTGGCCAGACCAGAGTAACTTTAACTGTGAACGGATATGATCCTGCCCTCAACCCTTTTCACAGTAAAATCTACAAAGCACCTGGGCAGGAGACATGGAACTATCACTATCAATCTCTTTGCAAACAATTTGCCTGCTATCTACAAGATATGTGAACAAGGCAACAGAAAACAGAAGAAGCAGACAGTTTAAGGACGAGCCAATACTACTGCTTATCTAGACAATAGCAGGTAATTAGTGAGTCGGTGTGTTGTTACTTCAGGACAGCAGGGCTGTAAGGTCGGGGCTGCTCTGTCTGCTGCAGTGGGACTCTCACTGGGCCTGTATGCATTTACCATGTACCATAATGTAATACATCCCCCAGTCCCCCCAATCTGCCTATTTTAAGTTAATAAGTTAATTTTAAGTATTATAAGTTTGTAGACTGCTTTAAATTTAGAAATTGCTTTTTAAAAATAATATTTTTTTAATATAAAGAAGCTCTAACTCTCATTGCGGCAGGTCACCTGAAATGTTTACCTGCCAAAGCCAACATATACCCAGTATTTAACAGGTGGCAGGTGCTAATTTTATTTCCTGGTTTCAATAGCTCAAATTTGAGAGTTTGCTGCTGTTTTTTGTTTTACATTACAGTGTACAAGTGTTCGACTGTTGGTTGAACAAAGTGTCCCCTTGGGCTCTGGGAAATTGGCATTTTTCACTATTTTCTGATGTTTTATAGAACCAAATTATTAATCACAAAATGATCAAAGGTGAATATATAATGGAAATAATAATTAACTAAACCTTATATTGTTTTGGTTTCAGTACCAAAACTCAGGTATGATATCAGAACTAGTATCAAAAGATGTCTGTGTATTCCAACTGTTACATTTCAATGTGAGTGAATTTTGATTTAATTTGTTTTACTGTAACTGTATTATTATTATTATTATTAGTAGTAGTAGTAGTAGTAGTAGTGGTATTATGCATATCTGTTTTTAGGCAATTTTAGTTGTTTATTAACAAAGAAAACATTAATTCTGGGTCCCAGTGAAGCTCATGGTTAAGGTGAGGTACATAAATGTAACTTACAGTAAGAAAGTGCACACGCAGTTCCATTTCCACTTCTGCCGAAATGTTTGTAGGAAAGCAGTAAGATCATTTCAATATCAAAGGCACATGTTCACTTAATTTGCATTAAACAGGGGAGGGTGGAAGCACATTTGGAGCTAAGAGGAGGTCCTTATCCCAATCAATCAAGACATGTTACTTGTGCAAAATCACATAATTAAAAAATGCACAAATATCATAACTTCTCAAACATATCCAATTATGATTTCTTTTTATCCCTTAGCACATGCCTCTCCTGTCTTCATTATGTTGTGACATTAAAGTGAAACATTATTTAATATTTAGTGATGAAACAGGCAAGAAACTCTCTCCTCCAACTCTCTCTACAGAAATAAAATTGAACAGACAGTGAGACTCTCAGAGGAATATGCTGAAAGTGTCAATGCTGCTGGTTGAATATGGCAAAATTGCTTATTTTCAGATTCAGCCACATCAAGCAGTTTTTTTTCCCAGGCTGTTTGTGGAAGAGCTTGCATATTCATGGCCCGCCTGTTTTGAGAACCTGTCACTGAGCCTGTTATATAGCTCTCCCTGCCTTTCTGTTCAGGATGGCTTCAGAGGCAAAAACACTCCATCAGACTTAACACTGTCCAGCTGACACAGTCAGGCAGTAAAACTGACAGCCAGTAGAGTCTGGCCTAGCAAATGAACCGGACATAATAAACCACTGACACAGGGGTCACCTTCTGTCACTGCCTATGTATCCACACATTCATACACACGCATAGAAAAGCACACAGACAAATCAAAAGGACAATGCGCCCCACATCCTATTGCTATTAAATACCCATACACTCTCTCTCACACACACACACACACAAAACACACAGGCAAAGACCATCGCTTGCATCCTCCCACTTCTCTCCTTTGGCTGGGTTAAATCCAGCAAAACCCCAGCCTTGTATTTGACCTGCCTCCCACCTCAGCTGTAAAAGAGCGAGTGCAGGAAGGAGGAGCTGGTGAGCACCGGGCTGCCCACATCTCAGACAAGAGCAACTATGGATTTCTGACTTAAACTTGGCAAGTTATAAGGTCAATATAATATTGAAATGCATGGGAATAATTCCCCTTCTGCGTGGACAGCTACCTTCATAAGTCTGAAGGATTAATAAAACAACTGGGTGAGTGTTTTTGTTGCTATGAAAGTTCTCACTGAGAGCGAATCCCCCCATGACTCTGTGAAACAGAATAGGTGTTCGATGGGAGATTCATCAGCGCGGCTAACACTCAGGTCAGGAGCCCTTCATGTTGAAACCATCCACTGACAACATTGTATGTGCATATGTGTTTGCGTTTCCATGCATGTAGGTATATATTTGCTCTCCGTGATAGTATTGTGTAAGTGGTGTGTGTTATCAATCCAGCTACCTCCTCCCACGCTATATGACTGTTGTGTTCCCCCTCCTCCCAACCGTTCCCTCTGCTGCAAAGCCTCTGTACACGGAGAGCTCTGCACAGTCCCCGTGGAATCTCCCATGTCAGTACATTACCTTATAAGTGGAGGCATTGACTGTGGGGACTCTTTGATACACATTCACATACAGTACAAACACAATTGATCTTCAGCTGAGCATTGAAAGGGAGTGGGGGGGGTGGGGGGGGGGGTGCTCAAGAAAGATCTACACACATATAACAGATCACAGGCCTTCTTGTGGAATAAGAACTGTGTGCGCAAGAAGGAACAAAACGCTCCTTTGATAAGGATGTGACAAGGAGCAATCTTTCCCTGGAGCCATCCGCTGAACACTATCAGCGATCTGGGAAAGGCTCAGACGCCACAGTCAAAGTGTAATATTATCCTATCTGTTCAGCCTCACATCGGGCATAATGCGACTGGCTGTATTAATTATACATTTCTTTTTCTTTTTGCATGAGCAGATTTTCCCCTTAGGGGATGCTAAAATAATGACCCCATCTTTTGACAACATTTGCAGCTCAATTAAAAAGTGTTTATGTCAATCTTCCCCTGTGTGAGCGCTGCCGGTTCACCATGTACACAGCAGTAGTGAGATGTTGTCATCTTCCAGCCACGAAATGTCAGAGACCTTTGGTTGTCATGACAATACACAGGGGTCGAACTTCAGCACTGACTTTCTCTCAAGGCAAAATAAATATTCCGTCCAATCTCTCCACGTACTGGTAAAAGGAATTATTTACTCGTTTTATGTTTTTTCAGAGATAGGGGGAAAACATACAAAAATCAGAGAGTGACTAATCGATCCCTCCTCCATTTATATTTAAAATTGAGAGAGGGGCGTTTGTTAAGTTCAAATAAATACTTTCTCTTAGATGTGGATGCGAACTCAGACAGCAGTCAATGATATGTTTGAAATAAAAATAAATGAATTGGAGTGTTTTTGCTCTCAGTGAGAGGAGAGCCCTAATGAGAGTGATCACAGATGCCAAGACCAAACACTTCAAACAAAGGCAGCTTGTTCTTTCATACATGAAGTGAAAAAAACCTTCAAAGATATTCTTTTTAAAGAAAAACAAAACAAAGAGAGTGACAGAAAGAAAGATAGTGGAATTATATTGAAGAAAGTCTGAACCGAACAATCACAACCTTTCTGCTATCTTTCTGGGAAACGGTCATAATTACATAATTTGTAAGTGTAAAGCTGAGGAATTAAAAAAATTAATCACAATAATTTGCTGTAATTATGGGTCTCCCCTTGCACTACTTACTCTGCACCCTGTCACTGCTGCATGCAATGCGCACTATATACTAAATGCTTGAGCTTTCCATATTTAGATTTGTTGTGAATATAAACAAGTGAGTGAGTGAAAAGTCCTCCTCGTCTATTTAAACCCTCCCCCGCAGGCAACAGTATTTACAAGGAAACGGTTATCATTTAGTCTCTGTTGCGGATCAAAATGTCAAGCTCCACAGAGAATCTGAGCAGTGCTGTTAGGGCCAAAAGTGCAGTTTTAGAGCCCCAGGATCTGAGAGAGAAAAAATGATTTGCAAATGCCCAAATATGTCTAATTGACCTGAAATATAGCCTGTGTGCAGGAACTGTTTGAAATCAATATGAAGAGCGAAAAGAATATCCTTGAAGGAACATTTCAGAAGATCACACCGCACATCTTTCGGAGCAGCATTATGAAGTATGCAAGAATTACGAAAACAATCAAGAAGTCATGCAAGGTCATGTGAATAAAAATTACAGTGGTTGCAGCAAATTAAGAGAGAGTGGGGAACAGCTGTTTTTCACCTAGCAGACCAGGATAATAGGAGCACACTGAGCGCTACTGTAGATTATATGAATAGTCTGTGGACGTGAAAGCCATTTGTGAGTGAATTTACACATAATGTATTCCCTCTGTATTTGTTTATTGCATGTGTTTAGTGAGGTAAATCAATAGCCAGTATTCCCATCCTTGATTGGATTCACAATTAGCTCTAGCAAGAGACTCCCAGACAGTGGGTATGTTAGATTCAGCACAGCCAACCCACCTGATTGTCTTTCCCTCACATCAGCCGCCACTCCAACCCCATCCCCTCTACTGTCCAGGTGCCTTGTGGGTAAAGGTGATGACTGGAGGGTAGTTCCACCCAAGTGGCAGGCGGGCCGTGACAGCTCCGAGATGCTCTTTGACCTGAGAGGAAGGGAAAACAACATCAATGGTAATTCCCCTTCAAACACATTAACTGGGATGAACTGGGTCCCACCGAGCCCCTGTGAGTGGACTCGCATTGATCGCAGAAATCCATGAATAAATTTAGCACTAATTGATTTTTTTTCCCCTCCTCAGAAAATAAATCTCTAATTCTGAGTAGAGGCAGTGAATGTAGCACCATTTTTATTTAAATCTGTAGAAATACATTTTGAGAAGTAACTTAATAAGCTACAAAAATATTCTGTGTACTCTCATACCGTCTGATCTAGGACGCCTGTTGTTATCAGTGCAGCCACAAAGTTTTAGCATTTTGTAACTGGACAAGAGTCAATAAAAAGTCCACCTTGAGCTCAGTTGCTAAACAAACAAAGAAAATTCATTGTGTTAGCATTGTTGAAGCAACAAGCCCAGAAATTAACCCATTAGGTCCTCTGGATTTCAGCTACCATTTAATTGCTTTCAGTGGGGATTGAAGTTATAGTTGGAGGGGAAATGGTGTCGCATATGCATTTACAAGAGCTCCCTATCCCTTCACCTTGCCCAGCTGTAAGAATGATACTGTCAATATCGGTAGAAAGCATTTACAAAAGATTCCAAGCATTAAGCGTAATTGCTGCACTGTTGTTACAAAGTGGAAGAAGATGTTGAAAATATGCTCTTATGAAGGTGAACTGCCGAAGCAGTTTTATTTAAACTGAAAGAAGGATTTAGCATTATATTTACAAATGGTAAACTAAAAAACATTTCCTTACTGTTTTTGGACCCCGAAAAAAAACCAAGAAAGAACCAAATATGTCTATTTAAATACATTTTGAAAAATTACCCCCAAGTACAGGGCTTAATCAAACTACAAGTATCTCGTTAATCTATATTTAAAATACAAGCTATTTAACCAAAGGTCAGGTGTGTTTTTTAAGCAGAGCATTAGCCATACTATATAAAGCTGATTAGAAACACTCAGGAGCATGCCGTTTACAGTTTAGTCAATGGATCCTAAAGTTCAGGCTGATCCTTTAGTCAGACATTTTAGTTTTTCCCTTTGCTTTTCAAATTCATTGCTGCAGCTGAAATCACTGCTCAGTAAAATATTATAGTTTTGGGGATATACAAAAGTGCTTGATTTTATTCTGTGCAGTGCCAAGTCAGACTTTCCATTTGAATATGGATCTGTGATAGTATATAATAATATTAGTTAAAAATACCAGTTTGTATATAATAACTGCAGAAGATTTTATTGTATATTTTTAAGTTGTCAATTGAAATAGTCAAAGTGCTTATTCTTTGTAATGATTGAGGAGTCTTGATTTGGGGAAGTAGCAGATTCAGGTATCATACTGCCACCTACTGGTTGACACTCTTCTCAAAGATGAAAAGTCAGAGTGCACTTAAATGAGTTCCTTATGATTAAAATAATCACTGATTTCAGGAAGGACAACTTCTACTTCAGTGACATCTATGGAAATTAAATATTACATTGAGCTTTACTTCAAATGATAGATAATATCCTCAAACATCTGCATTGACTAGGAGAGGAAATGTCCCACGGGTGCCCTGACTAAACATCATGCCCTGGGCCCTTTAAAGCACATCTAACTGAAAATGTGGTTATGGTCTATCAAGACTCCCTTCACTGACAAACCTCAATTGCTCAGTCGTGCAAAGAAGAACTCGTTCCTGAAATGTTCCTTTTTGTTTGATGGATGAGTTGAACATATAATGGCTGGGCATTACCTCTGCAAATAAACTAGACTTGACATTGCCCTGTGTTGGAACATCTGGGACGCCCCAGAGACAGGATCAAAGGCCTTGCGCGTCCTTGGACTCTATCTGTGCCAAACATGCACAGCAAGCTCAAGAACAGGTTATCCAGCGCATTTCAGTCATCATCATCTCCTGCCCTGGCTGTGTTTGTTAGTCATCAGCTATTGCTGTTTAATTTGTTACAGTCATATTCCTCAGTGTTTTCGTCATGATAACAGCAGGGCAGAGAGCAGTGCAGCCAGACAATACAGTAAATCAATTTATGAGCTTATTATCTCACAAAAAAAATGACATCTTTACCTAAGTGGAAACACGAACGGGATGTTGAAAATTAAGTGCTAGACTGATTGATCTTGCTAGCACTTTTCCAACTGACACGTCAGACTGAACAGCATATCAACTCCGCTCTCATCTGCACTATACTATGGGGGCTGTGCTACAACACAATCCACATTACTTGGGCTTTGTTTGGAGAGAGCCAGCCAACTGCATAACCTTAATTAGTCAAGCTGTATTCATTCAAGTGATTACAATGCCCTACACAGTAGTGAAGAGAAGCATCTGTCACTTAAACTCAAATGATTTCTCAATCTTTCCACTCACTGGAATAAATTTGTTGTCAGTGTATCAATTTATAAAAACACTCTGATGATGATTTTGTGCCAAAATAAAATACAGTCTTGTCTAGGACTGCCACTAACAATTATTTTCATTATTGACTTGTCTGTCATTTATTTTATGGGTCAATCAATTAACTGTTTAGTCCACAAAATGTTACAAAATAGTGAAAAACAAGTTCTCAAATAGCAAAAACCACAGATATTAAATTTACAATGCTTTAAAACAGAGAAAAGCAGCCAATCATTACATCTGAGAGGCTTGAAGCAGCACATTTTAGGATTTTCCCGTTGTTAAATGACTTACACAAATACAAGATTTTTAAAATTGTTGAGGATTTATTTTATAATGACTGACTAATGAATTCATTATTCTGGCACTTTTCTTGACCACTTTATTGTGATGTATTAAGCACATTCAAAATGCACAAATCACAGCATATTTTTAGCATGATGTTAATTCTGGCATGGCTGAAAAGGACAAAATGAGGTTTATCTGGGATCGCTTTTTTTCCCAGGTTCTTGAGTTTCATTGTGTTTGCCATTTCTAAATCTCCCCAAGGCTATGCATCTGCTGCTCTCCAGCATGCACAACTGGGGAAAAAAGCAGGATGTCACTTTTGTGAACTAGCAGCAGCGGAGAGGAGGGGGAAAATGACGCAATCATCAGAAAAGTGGTTTGGGTGGTGAGGCTGGGGCCTTATGAGGGGCAGGTTGCAGAGATCGCCCGCACCTCGGCAGATGTGCCTCGGTGTCACTCTACATCCGCAGCCGAATGAATCACCTAACAGATGTTTAACGTCAGGGCCAGGCTGTCACGCCAGCCAAACGCACACATGCACACACCAGCCATGCAAAGATATGCATACACACTGTACAATTTATCACTACATTAGGAAGAGTGGCTCCACAAGGGGTCAGACCAAGGCGCTGATGTTCACCTTGATGTGACTTTGACCAAAAATAGCAAGAGAGATTTCACTATACCTATAGAGAAGTGTTTGTAGGGTAGGAAAAAAAATCCTGTGATGTGCACTTAATATACACAACACACTGACTGAAGTGTGGTTCTGCTCAAACTCGCTGAGTTGCTCTTTTTGATCTCTGGCTTGTACGATCTGAAAACAACCCGTCAATATTGAAAGACAGAAAATATTTTAGATAACTCCGCTCCAGCCTCCCTGATTCCTTTTTTCGTTTTTTTAGACCATTCATGGCAGAATAAAGATATTTTGTCGAAACCCATTCCAACCAAAAAAACGAACGTGGCGTCTTACCAAAGATCTTTATCACCTCTTTTGTTTTAGGGTTTGTTCTAGGAGTTGTTTTGAGGTGGGGATGACGAAATGCAACGCTACAACAATAAACTGCCAATGCCATAAAACAGATGTTTTACAACCTTTGTAATGTCACTCTGCCATGCTGCACATCACATTTCCACATGTGAGATTTTATTGACAAGAGGAAAATTATATTTAAACAGAACTATAGAATTGAAATTCAAACACAGTCTTTTCTCTGAAACAGGTCCTGTACCCACTGTCATTTAAGGTGAACAGTCACTCAAGGATTTGACTGATCGTCTCATAGAATCAATCATTAAGTGTGCCGTGGGTGTTTTTTTTTTAAGTGTGCCTCAGTACCAAGAACATTGAGAATCACTGTGTTAGAAAAGAGCAATTGAAGGTAAGGAGCTTTTAAGAAAGAGTTGCTGGATCTTTGAGAACATTCTTGAGGCCCTTTTCCCCTCTTTTGGAGAAACCCAGGCAGATAAAAGGAAACACTCGGGTGGATTAAAGTGTTCAGAATGTATCAGCATCAAACCACTAGAGTTTTTGCCCTCTACATTTTTCAAACACAGTCAATAGATCTAAATATTTTACTGTGCCCTGGCCGATTTATTGTTTGATGTTTAAAAACTTGTGTGGAATGAAAGAAAATTCATTAAAGAAGATGGCCCCAGAACGAGGCCCTACGATCAGCTTTGAAAGTCTAGTTTAACTGGGATATTGATCATTCTCTTTCTTCTGTGACAAAGGCCACCAGGGACGCTGGAGGTGTCGGAGGATGAAGGCGCGCTGCCAATAACACCAGACGTGTGTGTATACACTGTAGGTAAGGCTGGGAATTACACTACTGACACTGAAAAATCCAATAACTCAAAAATGACCAAACAAACATCACATTTTTGATTTCATGCTGGTCAAAAGAAGAGTCAGTGTGCATTCTGGTTTCGATGAAGCAATTTGCACTTGAGGGTTTTGATTTTTTGCACTGCATGACAGATAAGACTACAATATTTGGGAACTTAATTATACAGCTTTTGTGGGGCCACTGGAAAAATAATCCCTAAATTGATATTGGATGTTAATCACAGAAGTTCGAGTGTGTGTTCACAGTGTAGAATGAGCGGTTATATTATTGACTATAGACTGTTCTGCTTAAAAAGAAAAACTATTACAGAACAACAGCAACATACTATGTGAGTTCTATTTTAGGGTGGATTTTCCCTTTTAGCAACCCAATCGCTATATGTTTGAGAGTAAAATTTTACATATTCAAGCTTTTCTGCAGGTGTGGCTATACCCGTCATGGCCTAAAAATTCTCAGCAAATTAAAAAGGAATAACACTGTACCACAAAAGGTTTTAAGCACAAGCTGTAAACACAAAAGGGAGTTTTGACAGAAAAGGAAGCTCCATCATAGAAATCAGTTTTTAAAATTCTAATTTGGAGATATTTTGCACGATAAAGCAAAACCTAATCCGCTGGAGTTCTTCAAGCTTAGATTTCCATCAAAGATAACTCCTAAATATCTGGCAACTTTCTTGACATCAGGAGACAGACTAACCACAGCATAATTAATTAAATATTTGGAATATGCAGGGCAAAGAGTTATTTTCCCAGAGCTGCAAAACATTAGACAAACAGGACTTGACAACTGTCAGCAGTGTTTTGAAGATGGCCAGGCTATTTAGACTGATAGACAAAAATTAATGGTGAAGAAAAGAACATCTCCAAGTTAAACCATTTGTAGAATCTCTGAGAATGTGTAAATTGCATACACGCTATCCATTTGTACAATAAAACACTATGATTATCCCTCTGTGCCTCTCTACTGTTTCCACAACACTGGAAGAGCTCACATTTAGTGTACTTTTTTATGCTTATGCTTTGAAATTTACATTAAAAATAAATTACCACAATGTTTTCAAGGAAACTGACAGCTTATCCTAGACAACAAGTTACAGTAGAGAAATGGGACTAAATTTTATTGCCACTTAATGCAACTCAGGAAAATATCAAAATAAATGCACTTCATTCTTTAAAAAAATGTGTTTTAAAAGAGTGTATGCAAAATGCTTTTACAATTTATGTAGAACTGTGAGATGCTCTAAATGTTTGTATTTGTTTTTAATAAACAAGAAGCCTAAATGAACACATTTTGGGGGTTTTTATGTTATATGTTGCCTTACTATCGAATAATGCAACACAAAAATGTCTGTTTTTTTAGATAAGGTGCATGAAAGGCTGGTTTGTTTGCCCTTTCTTTAAATTTTTCAGCTTTTGGCACAGCTGCGACTATGCAACACAGCCAGTTTAAATAAAAATGCACATATTCTCTTTCCAAGCGTCAGTTACTGATTTCCATCTCATCTCTTTTCCTGCTCCACTCTGATCACAATGTCTGTGTGCTTCAGTGTGGCAACAACTGCAATAAGACTAGATCTCCTACAAAAATATGAACTGGACTCACTTAATGGATCCATTTCTCCCCTCCAGTTTGCCAACCACTGCGTTCAGCAGCATCTATTTCAATCCCACTGTCGTTTCTCCACAATCTCTTATATTTCTCCCCTGAAAATCTGTCCCTTCCTCTGCCTTAAGTACCATGAAGTTATTGAATGGAATTACCATTTTGCAGCTGAATGAGCAACTCAGTAAATATGGAGTAAATTAATACATTGACTAGAGGTGAAACAGGTCGTTGCATTCAAATGCAGGCAGACCCGCTGAGCCATAAACTCCCAGGACAAAAATCAAACCGCACACTCACTGGAGATGCTGGTTTCTTCTAGGCCTGTATAGAAGCTGAATAAAGAGGGAAGTTTGAAGCATGTCAGTATCTGTCGTTAGTTATATGTTTGTCCAACCAAAATCAGGTACTTGAAGTACCAGAAATATGGCGCTGACTCTTATCATGAACTCCAGAGCTGCTGGTCAATTTGGTGTAGCCTGCAGGGAAATAAATGCTGATAAATGATCCCATTGTACTCCTGCACACAACACTTTGACTTTTTTTTTACCTTAGTGAAAAAAAATATTAAGGGCTAAATTTCACCAGCAACTCCAAACTGTAAATTACTAGTTATCTGTTTCAAGTATTTTTCTCCTACATTGTTTCTGTCGACTATCTGTGAGGGCATACTATCTGCACCAGACATAGCACTTAATTGAAGGTTGATTGAAATCTGTCAAAACTAGAGGCTAGTTTCCAAGGCAACACGCACACCAAGTGGTATTACTTCATCATTAGTAGTAGTGTTTGTGGGTTTTTATTCTTCACAAATTTCTCTAATTAGTTGCCAATTGATTGGTATTTACCCTCAACTGAACTGTTCAAGCCGTACCCATATTTGAGTTTTATCAGAGGCTCATTCATCAGCTGCGGGGGCAAAAATATAAATGATTACAGTGTTTCCATGAGATCATACATGATGAAAGTTTGGAGTATGAATATTGATGCAAAAACCAAGAACATGTTGTTTGCAGAATTAGCACTGCACAGTCCCACATTAAATGTGTTTTTTTGCCATGAATTTTATACACAGAAGTGTGACCTGATTTTTTAAGAATTAAAATCTCATAAAGTACCCTAGTTTTAAAGATGTACAAACTGTGTATCCTGTCTTCCATCACTCTGTTTGTAACTTTTCCTTTAAAAAGACACACAGGACACAGCAGGAGGGGAGGTGTGATGTTCTCTCTTTTTATTGACTGACACGGCTGATGAGGGCCCATCCTGCACTTTGGCAGAAGGGTAGGCAAGCATGCGGAGGTGGCGCCCACCAGGGTGCAAGGAGGGGGCGACATGGTCGTCCTTCATAGATATTCCATGCGTGGCTTTACCCTCAGCTGCCCTGTCAAGGTCTATGTATGCCCCTCCAAGGGGGCTGAGACAGGGTCATGGATGACACCCGCCTCTATGCCAGACGTGACAGCACAGCTGGGCCGCTTAATGACAGAGAGGCCTGGCCCAGCACACACCTGCCCATCCTGGGCAGGGCAGGCGACCTCACGGGGAGAAAGAGGAGCCGTTGCCACGTTCGATGGACAGATGTTCTGGAGGGGAGACAGCAGAGACAGCTGCACTACAGGGACCCCTCCGTTTCTCTCCTCTCTCCAGTAATTGAAAATCATGTAAAAGGTCAAATGTGCGATACTGGCTGTCCCTCTTTGCAAGTTGTTCCTTTCAGCCAGAACATGACAAAAACAACACTGACTGGATGACAGCTTTTGCTGCAATTATTGCCTATTTAGCTATGGATGTCCATGTAATGACGATATCTGTAAACATTCCCAGTGAATAAATCTGCATATACAAAGAGGAGTGGGCCATCTGTTGGAGGCCATGAACAAGGATCCCTGAGAGAAACCTAATCATTGCGTACATTACACAGACACTGTTATGACATTTGGACTCCAAATGAAGGAGGATTGTAAGGGGGAGGGGGGTGGGGGGTACGTAAATAGCACTAATTCCAAACTCTATCAACATTTGCTGAATAGCAGAGAACAGCCCCGTGTAAAGAGTCCACTGTGGTACAGGGGGGTCAGTGCCTGTCCTGAATACCAACAGAGACTGACCCTCCTTCTGGGTTGCATTTTGATGAGAAGTGGCAAGGTTCTGACCTCCGCAGAATTGCTCTCAGTTTGTGGTTGTCTTAAACAGAACCAGCAACAGAACTGTCACAAACCATCAGCCTCCCTGGAATTCAGCAGAGATTTCTAGACCTTCATAGACAAATTAACGATCAAAATAGACAATGAGGACTCATCAAGCAACACCAAAAAGGGACTTTCAAGTACTAGAACCTTGGCATTGTGTTTGAGAAGTTTTTTTTACTTGACCTAGATAAATACAAGTTTTATGGGAACTGGAGAAGGTACAAAAAGTTTACATGCTCAGACTGTGAAATACAGTATTTAAAGAGAGTATGTCAGTGTTGGACAAAGAATGGGCTATATAAATGAAACATCTCATCATACATTTATTTCAATAATGTAAAAGTTTCAAAAAGTTGTTACTTTTAATGAGAAACATCTTAGGACTCACCCACAAACATGTGGTTTTGAGGGAACTCTTTTAAATTTAACAAAAACAAGTGCTGTGACTTGAGTACCAGCACAAACAGGAAGGAAACAATATATTCCATAAACTCCCCCAAATGAGAATGTTATCAATTACACTTGTGTCTGAAGGAAAAACAAAATGAAGCTCTTCAAGATGCATGTTTCTGGTTTGACCGACCGTAGCCCTTTGCCAATAACAATGTTACCCGCAATCAAGATCCAAACCACACACCCTTGGCACGGCACGCTGTCACAAATTATGTTTTGATTCTGACCAAATGCAACAGCTTCCTGTCTGGTGCTGTTTTCCCTTACTGTCTGTTTTATTATCTTGAACCAAATGCAAACGTTGTGATTTTTTTTTAACTGCAGAAAGGACATTTGGTAACATATCAAACCTGTTGGATGCTCCAGATGACAAACTTGGATAACATGTATCCTCATCAGGGAAACAATGACTATAACTTCACAACAAGAAACCAGCACTATCTGCGCTCATTAAACCCACTGAAAATCTGTTTTAGACGTTGATGTTCCATCCTGGACTTTACTCCTAATTGTCTCTCATGTCTACAAAACAAATACAGTTTTTCTAATCACTCCAAAAAACCACCTTAATTGAAATGTGTGAGTTTTCAAGTGTTTGAGTGTATGCCACTTGTATGAGAGTTTAACTGTGCAACTGCATGCATGTAGCACACCAGAATGCACATTTCAAAGGCAAGACAGCTCCTGGGCTTGCTGAACTTTTGCTTGTTATCAGGAGCTGAGAGTGAAATGGAGAGAATTGATCTTTTGTCTACTGGAGGTGCACTCCCTTGGGCTGGGCCCCTCGCTTGCTCACTTGCTTAGCTGCCATGCAGAGGGCACTCTTTCACACCACCCCCCCCCCCCTTGTTCACTCTCTCTCTCTCTCTCTCTCTCTCTCTGCATGGCGGCTGCCTCTCCTCCAGCTGACACTTGTCCTGCCGTTACCGGGAGAGATGTGTGCTGAGCTGCTGACACCAGGATTGATCTTCCTCCTTTTCCCCATAAGCTCCATATCAAGCTCCTGGAGACTCTTGGAGGAGACAAAGAATGGGCGGAGGGGCAGGGATAAGGGGTTGGGGAGGAGGCCAGAGTGGATGGAAGAGGAGAGAGAATATTGTCAACTCACATCACCTCTTCAAACTAACAATGTTTAGAGCAGCGTAGGAATAGAGTACACAAAGTTGACAGTTTCATTGGTGGGAGGAAGTTCACTTTTTGCTGAATTGTTGCTCACAGTGACACCACAACACCAACAACTACATTTCCTAATGGTTCCTAACAAAAACTACTTTTCATGATCAAGACTCAAATGGTACTATTCACTAAAGTGAAGAAGATGTGTTATAAAAAACAAATTAGTTGCATGATTCTATAAATAATACACCTCAAAACTTGCTTGATGGTAGATAACTGTGACCACAAGATGATAAGACCCTTTTTGTTTAACCAGAAAGAGAAGTCTCCCTCGAAATATCACAAGAATTGGGTTGTTGCAGGAAGACGCCAGTGGAAATGTGCTTAAATTGTTTTTTTATTTTTTATTATTGTGATACTGGTTGATATACAATTGGGAGTCTGCACAGGGTGTTTTATTAAAAAAACGTTGCCAGATTCTCTATGACAAAAATAGACATAGGCAGAGCAGAGCGCCGCTTCCGGCCGCTTCTGAAACGTGCTGTGCGTATCTGGTGAAAGCACAAGCAGGATGGCTGCGTTCAGGTCCGAGTGCTCTATTGCAGCCAGAACACGACACAGCCTGGTGGAGGCTTCACTGGAGCAAGGCATAATAACATAATAATATATTTTGACTTTGTCTTGTTTATATTATGTGTGGCTTTTCTGAAAAGCCTCCACCTACATTAAATTGTTTTTATCATTTATATAGTGCTTACACAGCTCATGTGCAATGCCTAAGTGGAAAAACAAACAGAAATAAAGCTTTTCATTGGCAACAGAACCAAGCTGTACTCTAAATTGGACAGCAGTAAATAACCTCAGACTGAGACCCTAGCCTGGACTGTAAGACCTCTTCCACTTTAAAACTGCACTTCATTTGAAAATGTACAATGATAAGCATTATACAGAACATAATATTTACAACAAAATGTATTCTAAATATTTAATATTGGAGGAGTAACTGATCGTCTAGCTGCTGCTGTGATCCTGCAGCCACAGTAAGTTAAAATAATGTACTTTTAATATACTTTCTTAATGTACTATTTTTTATTATTGATTATTGTCGTATTGATTTTTGTGTTGTCAGTGTTGTGAAATACAATATAAACTTTTCTAATGAAATGCTACGTACAACTGTCTGAGCTAAAAGGATAAAATAGTTTACATAGTTTTGATTACCCTTTAAAGCACAGACGTTGCTGGTAGATCTCACCATTCGATAAACCAAATCTAAAACTGGCCCACATTGGCCTTACCAATTGGCCTTGTAACCAAGCGGGAAGCTTCCGGTCTGAGTGAATCCAACATCTGCATAATGGTAAAATGACCCTATTTCTCACCGGATGTATTACCCCAGTAAACACTTTCCTGATGAGTTTATGGTCTCAATCGCTAGTTTCATGTCTTCTTCAATACAACATGATGTTCATTTAGTAAATTATGTTCCCATTTAGAGGAAAATAGACCCTAAAGCAGAGTATGCTTCATGGTGGAATTATCTGTGATTGACAAATTGTTACCGTGGCGACCTGTCAATCAGGCTAGAGTAACTTGTACCCATGGCACTGTGTAAATTTAATCAGCGCCATTGAAAAAGGTTATTAGGAGTTGGCTTTTCACTTTCTCTGGTGAGTACATTTAGTTTTAAGCCTGTTGTTCGCTAGACAAAATTATAATCCCTGTTAAAATTATAGTTAACATGAATTACTGATGCACCTAGGTAAGCAAGCGAGCTAGCTCCACACACGGCCTCCACTGTCTCATTCAAATATGGTCACGTCCAGTGTCGCTGGTTTCAAAAGCTCAACATGGGGGCGCCCTATCGGCCAAACTCAAGGCTTCAGAACGGCAGTCCACAAACCAACTGGTGACGTCAGGATGACTACGTCCACTTCTTATATACAGTCTATGTTTACAGTTTATGTTTGTTTATGAAGAACGATCAAGAGACGCGGTACTTTTTTTTTTCTCCGTTCTATAAAATTCAGTTGTTTGTGGTAAAATGTTACAAATTGTCCCTCCTGCAATGTTAATACATCATTCAGAAAAATTATTCAGCCAGTGCCTGATCTGGATTTCCACCAAAGACAAATCCCTTCTTCCCCAGTTTATGGCCTAATCTTCCTTCAAATTTCACTGATATCTGTTAGTAGGTTTGTCCAGCGTCCCACCAACTAATAAATAAACCAACCAAACTACAAAACAGATGTAAAAATGACAGCTTCTACAACGAAAGGATTAAAATTAATCTGGACTAATACATAGACTAAAAATAAACTGCATGGTCATAAATAACAGTAATGGATGCATTCTCAGTGGCTCCTGAGGACTTCTGTTGTGATTATAAGTCCAAGCATCTGAGTGGATTTGACTGGGGATCGTTACAGTTATTACTGTGTGTTATTGGCATCGCGAGGAGATCAGACCTGGGAGGAAGGGTTCGGGGGGAGGAAGTCTAGCAGCAAACGTTATAATTTGCGGGTTAGCCAATTTCAGGAGGCTGGCTGGCCCGATCTCCCTGGTAAGCATCCGAGAGCAGGGGAGACCAGAGCATGGCAGGGCAGAGCCGTGCAGGAGGAAGATGAATCAAGTTTAATAACAAAGGGTTCTAATTGCCCCCTACAACCCCGCAGCCCCACCTCAGAGCTGAACTCTAATTATGGAGAGAACACAGTGCACTGTCACCCAATATTAAGTTGTTGAAGAGCATGGCGAGATAATCGATAAACACTTTAGTTGAGGAGGTGGGGCGGGGGGGAACAGAGAGAAAAGAGAGAATAAAAAAAGTAAGATGCCCCTTCCATTCAGTGGGAACCAGCAGCACCCAAAGCCCTCCTAGCTCATGAGAACACCGTTGGGACGGTCCAAGAATGATTGCAGAGCAATAATCCTGAGCCCCCCCCCCCACCCCCCCATTCTTGAAAAACTCCATACAAACACACATGCTGCAAATGCTCACTCAAATGGCCAAACACACACATACACGTTCATGTGAGCGTACAGCACAATGTAGAGCCCTACCTTCCCCATGGGCTGCCTGAGCACCCGTGCGTCTGAGAGGAAAGGTGAACACGGTCACCCTAATTACAGGGGCCCCAGCTCTCTCACACACTAGCACACACTCACCAGGCATAACTAAAGACAGGCCAATTAGGGCGAGAGGGAGATAAGGAAAGTTTTATTTGTATACTAATTAAGCCCCTGATGAAATTCAAAAGGGAGGTGGTGAAGGGGATTGGGGGAGGGAGCGGACGGGTAATTGTGTGTTTGAGAAAAGGTTGCTTTAGGTGCGGTTATCTGAGAAGAACAGCCTTGAGATAGTTGCCCCCTAATCCCACGCTGAGCCCCGGCACTGCACTGCAAGGTCTCTCATAATTTGATCTGTTACATATGAAATGGCAGGCTCCGACAGCGAGATCATCAGCAGCGTTTATTGTCTGTTTGGTCCTCGTTTCAGCTAAACATAAAAGAAGTTGTCATGCCAATGAGACTGTTTTCCTTTTCTTTCTTTTTTTTGTTCACTCTAACTTGAGCTAAAAAAAGATCTCAAGACAGTGTGGACGAACTGCCAGCCAAAGTCAGCATTAAGAATATTTGGCAATGTGTTAGCACATATGCTAAGTAATGTTTCAGGTTATAACCTTAAGAATGAAGTATTAATTAAAGTGGCAATTATCCTGAAAGAACTTTTTCATAGATTTTGACTTGTCACAGCAGGAAAAGCACAGGTGTAGGCCCTAACTAATAACATTAACGATAGCACTTTGCTATTCAGGGTTCCCAGTAAACAGTTACAGTGAACCAGCATACACAATACCAGGACCCTGGAACAGTCTCACCTAAATGGAATGCCGCCATCATTAAGCTTATTATTTACACCTGTGCTTTTCCAGCTATGAAAAGTAAAAAAAAGTCTAACCACATAAAACTATATTTTGCTCAGCAGGTACTCTAATCATTAGTATAGTCAGTAATAAAGTGCTTCAATATCAGCAACCTATTAAGTCGTGATGTTTTAGATCGGTGAATCCCAACCTTTCACCTTGTGAACCTTTAAAGCAAATCAGTCTACTCACGGCACTTCATCACAAGTTGTGCCTGTCAATGAGTTATGTGTAGTGTTCCCTTGTCACATTATTTCATTTGAATAGTTTAATAAATAAATATAAACATAACTATACTTTTTTTTCTATTTCCTATTTTATAAATAATCTCGCAAACCCACAGATTTGTCTGGCCCCAACAGCTCCTTGGGGTGGTCCTGAGCCGCTAAAAGTCTGTAGAGAACATGTATTCACATTTTTTAGGAGAATCATTTTTTTGTATTTATACTCAAATTGATACTCGATGTTACAACATTAAAAACGTTTGTCTTTTGTAGCTGTAAAGGCCGGATTATACATAGAGGCGTTTCTACCCTCATTGATTCACCAGCACCACAAACTACATCCAGGTGTAGTAAAACTATCATACAGGTGAATCAACACCTCTCTAAAACAGTTAACAAACAAACTGAACATGACCTTTAATGCAGGACTGTTGTATTAGACTGCGATAACAACAACTGAGTGACCCTGGTAGTAATAAATCTGTCTTATAATAGGGGCGTATATTTTGACAGTTGATGTCCTACCAAGTAAGGAGCTATAAGTAAAATAATGGTTGTTAGGAAACACATTTCCATCTTACCACCTGTTAGCTAACTGATAACATTAACCAACAAAAGGCCTTGCTGCATGTCATAAAATTGTTATTGTAGGATGCAACACAACTGGGACAAGACTATAAAGTTAGCTCCGTCTGTGTACAGACAGTAGATTTCCACGGGGCGCGATGAAAGTAACGTGTCTTGAACTCTTGTCAGTAGTCCAAAGCTCCCTCCATCTTCCAAACGCTAGCTACACCGAAGTTCACACGTGTTTTGGAGACACAAAACCAAATTTATGACTGTACAAGTTCCAGGCAAATGTCATTATTGTTTCTGGACGTTATTTCCCCGTTAATCCAAAGGAAAATCCCCAAAACAGCCGGAGAAAAGATGGCGGTCAACATGCGCTGACGTAAGAGCAGTAATATTGAAGTTAGTATTTACAACGCTGTACTGTAAACTGTCCAGCAGTTTTAATATTTAAATGAAAATGCAACACTGCCTTTTATTGCTTGTAGGCATGGATTGGAGACCCGAAGCGTTCAATATTAAATAAATAGATAAATAAGACATTAATAAACTATCACATGAATAAAAACAAGATATGCAATACAGCCATCAACTAGTCAGCTCAATATTAAGGCATGTTATTTCGTCCTGATATGTCTTCCCAAAATCATTGCAGGTCATTTTTTATTTAATTCCAGCAGTTTTTATTTCCGAAATTTTCTTCCAAAGTCTGTTTTTATTTTAAAACATGAATTTTCCAGTGATATTCTTTTGTTCCATAATGACACTTTTTATAACAAAATCTTTGTCAATTAAAACAAACAAGATACAGCCAGTATTTAGAGGTTTTTATTCTATAGTAACTTGTTTTTCATTATTATTGTTGTTGTCTAATAATTATGTATCTTTTTATTTTGATATTATATTATTTAGATATTATGAGAAAGGTTCTCATTAATGTTGACACCAGGGCATATTTTAATTTAATATTTAATATTTAAAAACATATTTTGTGTTTCATATAACAAAAATCGGGAGAAAAAAAACTAATAAATAAAATAAATAAATAACGGCAATATCTCAGTGAACAGGAGCAGATTCAACAGTAGGGGGTCCATCAACCATTTTAACACTTCATCATTAACAGTCAACCATAAAGCAGTTCTCTAAAGATCAACCTGGCATTCAGCTGCTTCATCAGAAGCAGCGTTTCATCCCTTATTAGAGATTAGCTTCACAGAGACCCCCTGTGACGTGTTGTCACAGTAAGCCATGTTGGGTTGAGTATCAAAGTGGGTGCCCCACCGAGCTTTTGCAGATCTGCCTCTTTATGGGCCACAAAAAGCAGGCCACATGTGGCAACATCTTCAAAAAGTCAAGTAATCTGGATGATTTGACAGTTCACAGCAGGCATCTGTGTTGCTCATTTCTTAAACCAAGTCTTCACTGATTCTCCACCATTTTGCAAAGCTCAAAGCTTCAAATTGAATTTGCCAACCAGCAGATGAAAATATTAATGATGTAATAATTCAATCCCAAATTCTTAGTATGTGCTATATACTGTGTGATGTTGAGTGATAAAGGGAATAAGATATGACCCTAATCAGTGAATTGAAGAC